GCTTTGTTCCACTTTGCAACGGGGAGGGGAATCCGGAGGCAGTGAGCAGCCTGGAAGCCCTGGGAATATCATCTTTAACAAAGAGTCTGTCTTAGACAGGCACCCAGCAACCAAAGAGCTCATCTCAACATTTCAAAAGTGTTCCACCATGTTTCTTATCCAGTGGCTGCTCTCGGAGCATGGAGCTGAATTCAGAAGTCATATTTTTTTATTTTTTTTTTTTGTTTTAACCTGTTAAGAAAAGCCAGAGCAGTAACTCCAGTGTACTCACATAATAGTGTTCTCATTCCTTTTGAATTGAAATCAGCCCACAAGCGGCATGGCCATCCGAATGTGCCACTTTATTTATTTATTATTTTGAATGAGAGTCCAAACAGCTTATATAAAAAAAAATCACAATAATCCACAAGTAATCCACACGACCCAAGTCCATCAATTAATGTCTTGTGAAGTGAAACGCTGCGTAATAAACAAATCCATCAAGATGATTTTAACATCAAACCATTGCTGACTTAAAACCCAAGTCCTGAATCAGGATAAAGATACTGTATGCACAGACCAAGCACCATTTTAGATGGAAACAGTCCAAAACAGTACTAATCAAATACAGTGATATTTTTATCAGCTGTTTGGACTCTCATTTTGATGGCACCCATTCACTGCAGAGGATCCATTGGTGAGCAAGTGATGCAATGCTAAATTTCTCCAAATCTGTTCTGATAAGGAAACAAACTGAGCCTGACCAAAAGGTGAGTAAATTTTCATCAAAGTTTCATTTTTGGTTGAACTATTTCTTTAATATAAAAAAGTACAAATATACAATTTAATAATAAAATAAAATAAATTGAAGAAGAAAAAAAAGATTATTTGGTTGACAGACAAATAGCAAGTCTTGTTAAGGATTTTAAATGGCATACGTTTTGAAAAGTCATTTATGCTCTCTGGTTCAGTCAAGCTGTCTAAGACCAGAGTGCTGACTCAGTAGCCCTGGAGGCTAGAAAGAGACTGGACCATATAAAGCTCTGCTGCTTTCATGGGATATAGTCACACCTGCTTCCCACGGTGCTGTCTTCCAATCATAAAGCTGCATTTAGGAAAGAGCAGATGAGCTGCTGGACTGCTGGAGAACTTCCTCTGTCAGCTGCTCAGATGAGTAGCTGTCACAGAGAATAACCCAGATCCTTTTGGTTAAAATTATAATGCGGGAAAATAAGTTAATCGTCCGTTTTTTTCTAAATAGTATTTGTTTTCAGATAGACCTTTCAGAAACATTGTACCCTTCTTTGGTGAGCTTATCACATCCTAAAACAACAGTTTAGGTGACTTAAACATCTATTTAATGTATATACTACTGTTCAAATGTCTGGGGTCAGTAAGATGAATATAACATTATTAATTATTCAGAAAGTATGCACTGATCAAAAGTGACTAAAGACTTTTACACTGTTACAAATTTTTTTTATTTCAAATAAATATTGTTCTTCTGAACTTTCTACTCCTGCAGAAATGTATCATATTATTCACAACAATATTAAGCAGCAAAACTATTAAGCAGTTTTCAACATTGATAATAATTGTCTATTGAGCACCAAACCATACAAGGCTTCTTTTAAAAACATTTCAAAAACTAATTTTACAGACCCCAAACTTTTGAATGGTAGTCACGTACATTTTAATTTCTTCAGGTGAAATAAAAAAAAGAAAAGAAAGAAGAAAGAAAAGAAAAGAAAAAGAAAGAAAGAAACAAGTGAGACAATGTTGAACTTTTCCATGACATTCTAATTTATTGAGATGCACCTGTAAAATAACAGAGCTATAACGTTGTGTAAATGTACATCCAAAACACAAAAAGTTTTCAGTTTTTAAGTTGAAAACGGTGTCGTGTAAACACCCTCTTATTCTCCATAACCTTATTCTCCATTTAATGCCATTGCTGTCTTAAAGAAACATCTGAGATCTTAAATCCACATGAATCTGTTCTTTTTTTCAACTATTTATCAGCTGTTTGTAGGGACAGCGTCTGTGATTGAGAGGGCCTTCCGAGGGCTCAGGAAGGGCTGACAGTGTTCTCTACACCTCTTCCCACAAGTCTTTGAAGCCCAAGAGCTGAGCAGTGTGCCAGAGCTATGGAATGATAAGGGCTTGAATTAAGGTTCATGAGTTTCTGGCAGGGGGAACAAGAGAGAGCGCAAATTAACATAGAAAGCGTTTGTTCAGCATGGCCTCTGCATCCTGAGGAGGTCCCACCGCCTGCCGGTGTTACCACAGCTTTGTGATCAGAGTGACTACAGCTTGTCTGACTGCTCTACACATCTCAATAAGCTCATATAATCACCAATATTTTCATTTCTTTCTCTCATTTATTCTGCGTGAGAGCTTGTCACCTATAGACCTCATTGAATAAAGTGCTTCATCATGTTTCATAAGTTGATCAAACCTCTAAAGACCTTCCAATGTTTTATATAATTTATCCAGAACACACTTACAAACACTAAGCAAACATATTTCCTTATGTAAGACCAATCGTCTAACCTTGTGAGCACTCAAGCCACTTTGGAAACGAGGTACTCGTGCTGTCTGTACCACACAGTGACCTCCAGGTTTTCATACTGTAACCAAATTACACATATATACAGTACGAATGGCATCATGGTGTTTGTTCAGCAGTACGTTCACATAGAGATGGATTAGACAACAAATAAAATGATGTCTCATTACCAACACCGTTGTTTCTCTTTAGTTAATGACCTCTCATGTTACCCTGCAGGCCAGAGATAAGCGTAAGGCTGCATTAAATGCTAAAGCATCCTACAAATCTGAGATTACATTAGTAAATGTAATCAAATGTTTGAAAAATAGTGGTGAGTAAATAAAATACAGCAACATAAAACACTTACAGTATTCATTTAGCGGATGGTTTTGTTCAAAGAGACTTACAAATAAGGAAACAAAGTAATTCATCCTAAGAAGGCAATAACATGAGAGTGCTTAAAAAAAACCCCAAAAAAACCTTTCAACATTGTCTGGAAGAGTACAGTCTAGAAATATTTTTTAATGAGACTACAATGAAATATTTTCCATGAGAAATGTTTTTAAGAAAAATTTATAAAGAATTCTTTTTTTTTAAGACTCTACTAGTCACACAAATTTGGAACAGTCCTTAAGTCACCAAATATAAAATGGATGGATGGATGGATGGACGGACGGATAAAAGGATAATTTTATGATTAACACAGGGTATGAATATATAATATGGTGGCATAATGTACATGTCTCTATGGCTTTGTCTTTTTGATTTTCCATAATAAAGCTCACAACAATATGTATTTAAGATAAAGGCTTCAGTTTAACAGCATGCAGTTAATAAACTTTTCACCATTCAGTGGTATTACCGAAAAGTCTCACCAGGGAGATATTGAAATGTCCCTCTCATAATGTGCGGGGGTTCAGGTAATTTCCCTGCAGGATTTGTATTCTTCCTCTTTGATGGATAGACAGGCTATCCGGGAGGATTGGGGGGGGAGGGATCTCCGCGATTTCTTTTATTTCTTTTTAATGCCAGTGGTCTGTAATCTGTCATCTAACATCCGATTGCTGTGACACACAGAATATGGGGCTATTTCTGTTTTGCTGCTATGTCACAGTGACTTTTTGACTATTATAAATTTGACTGTTTTCCGGTTTGTTGCATGCAAACTGATCCAGAGGATTGCAACGACCTTGTTTGCTTGTGAAATGCAAACTGTGAATGTGAATCAAATGACTGGAAGACAGGGGTGTCATGCACTCATTATTTTTGAGGGTGCACGAGGTGGAGGGGAGGGGGGGGTCGTCATGTGACACTGCAGCCACAACAGCAATTATGTTTTATTAATTTTTTTCCTTTTTATTCGAAATACATATGATGCACTGAGTGTTCTAATCATCCCGGGTGATTGTATTAAATATAGAAAATATGAATCTGCTATTTTTTGTCTTTTGGAAGCTGCATTCAAAATCCACTTGGCTCAAAAAGCTTGAATGGGCAATGACACCTCTGGCCTTCATCATGGAAATGTCTATTTGACGTCTGCATTTACATCTGCAGATGTATTTTATTTATTTTTTTTAATAGAGTGTTTGCTCATCTACAATACGTTTATAGGACGTTTCCCATCAGATGCCTACAGTAGCCTACATGAAGTGTTTCTGTTGCTTCATGAAAACGTCTGTATTTGACAAATATTGCATTTTATTCTCTTAATATGTGATAAAGTATGCAAACACCGTGCGAACATCTCTATGGAAAGCAGAAAGAGTCCGACTTCACGTCTACGCTTTCAAATCCGCCCCCGACTGCAAGCTGCAACTCTCGACGATCGGTCTGCGCAGCACCGCATGAAGTTAAACACACTGCCGTTCCCAGCATGAGATCCGCGAGATCCGTGTATATGTGTGTGTGAAATAACTGCCTAACAACACTAACTGAACACTGGTGCCGCAAAGATAATGGACTTTCTCATCGGAGCTGATCAGCAGTCTAACAATGCTCATCAGTCAAAATGACAGATATGGCCAATCAAATCTATGAAGGGGTGTAAAAAGTACTCGAAAAATTATACTTAAAATCCAAATACAGTAAGCAAGTTGTAAACTTTAAAATGAAAGAGAGAGAGAGAACGATCGACAAAAATCTTTCTAAACTGTTTGAGCAAATAGGGAAAACATGCCATATGAATAACCGCTCCCTTGACCTCTTCCCTGACCATAACCGCTCCCCTGACCATAACCGCTCCCGGACCTCTCCCCGACCATAACCGCTCCCCTGACCACTTCCCTGACCACTTCCCTTCCATGACCATGACCTCTCCCCTGACCGCTTCCCTGACCACTTCCCCTTCCCTGACCACAACCGCTCCCCTGACCACTTCCCCTTCCCTGACCACTTCTGCTCCCCTGACCACGACCGCTTCCCTGACCGCTTCCCTGACCATGACCGCTTCCCTGACCACGACCTCTCCCCTGACCACGACCTCTCCCCTGACCATGACCCCTTCCCTGACCGCTTCCCCTTCCCTGACCACTCCCCTGACCATAACCGCTCCCCTGACCATGACCGCTTCCCTGACCGCTCCCCTAACCGTTCCCCTGCCCATGACCGTTCCCCTGACCGCTCCCCTGACCATAACCGCTCCCCTGACCATGACCGCTTCCCTGACCGCTCCCCTAACCGTTCCCCTGACCATGACCGTTCCCCTGAACGCTCACCTGACCATGACCGATCCCCTGACCGCTTCCCTGACCATAACCGCTTCCCTGACCATAACTGCTTCCCTGACCATAACCGCTTCCCTGACCTCTCCCCTGAACACTTCCGCTCCCCTGACACTTCCGCTTCCCTGACCATGACCTCTCCCCTGACCACTTCCGCTCCCCTGACCGCTCCCCTGACCATAACCGCTTCCCTGACCACTTCCCTGGCCGTTTTCCTGACCACTCCCCTGATCAACTTCCCTGACCACTCCCCTGACCACTTCCGCTCCCCTGACCACTTCCGCTTCCCTGACCATGACCTGACCATAACTGCTTCCCTGACCTCTCCCCTGACCATAACCGCTTCCCTGACCACTTCCCTGGCCGTTTTCCTGACCACTCCCCTGGCCATTTTAAAAAGAAAAAGTGCGCCATGCTGTTTCTTTCTTCTTCTTTTGTTCAATGGTCGTTTACATGCAATGGTCGTTTACATGTTAGTGCATATCGCCACCTAATTGATGGTTGTGCGCCGCTTCCCTGACCATGACCTCTCCCCTGACCACTTCCGCTCCCCTGACCGCTCCCCTGACCATGACCGCTTCCCTGACCGCTCCCCTGGCCGCTTTCCTGACCTCTCCCCTGATCAACTTCCCTGACTGCTGCCCTGACCACTTCCGCTTCCCTGACCACTCCCCTTACCACTTCCGCTTCCCTGACCTCTCCCCTGACCACTTCCGCTTCCTTGACCGCTCCCCTGACCATAACTGCTTCCCCGACCTCTCCCCTGACCATAACCGCTTCCCTGACCTCTCCCCTGAACACTTCCGCTCCCCTGACCGCTCCCCTGACCTCTCCCCGACCATAACCGCTCCCCTGACCACAATGCCTTGATTAGCTTGTTCAGGTGTGTTTGATTGGGGTTGGATGAGCTGAATGCTGCATTCACGCCATGTCATAATAATTAAGGTATCCTAATATAACGACCAGAGATGAGAAGTAAATACTACGTTACTGTACTTAAAGGCACAATATGTAAGATTTTTTTTATTAAAATATCCAAAAACCACTTGAACAGTGTTATATATTTTGCTGACTTGTGTACTTACATTATCCCAAATGTTTCGAAGAATGTTTAAATCCAGAGAAA